TTGGGAGTAACAGTGTGGGTGATGGCCGGATCAGGGTCAAGGGGACAAGTACGTTGGGAAATGTTGGGGTGGTCTAATGTGGTGACTTCACATGGTAAGAAGTGTGAGGGTTGACAATTTTTCTTCGAGGAGATGTAGTAATTACAGTAGGGATAGGTGAGTAAGAAGAAAAGAGTGCGGGTGGAAAAGATGGCATGACCATTGGAAGGGGGGAACTAAGAGAGGAGGCATTTAACTGGATTTTCATGCTATGTTTATGATTTAAATTTACTTTAATGAGTTTGTATATACTCATTATCTATCACTTCCAGATGACGTAGTACCGAAAATTGGACCAGAACTGCGTACTTTCGAACCTAGCATGTAGAGGAGACGGAAAAGGGAGTATGAATAGTAAAACAGAATAATTACATAATTAGTAGCAAGTAACTCATTTTGAAACGAGAAATTGTGAAATTGTAAACTACTGTATTGATGGAGATACAATAGAGTAACTTTAGAAATTTGAATGATTGGATTTGAATATTTTCTATGTGTATGACCGAAATTGTTTATGGGATGATACATGTTATGTCACGTATGCTAACAGGGTAATTGTAACGCCGCTGAAGTTAAAATCGGGGCGTTACACTAAATGTCACGGTCTTTTCAAAGTAAAGCACAATGAAAACTAAACTTGGCAATACAATTCTTCACTTGGACTATACTGGAACAAATGATGTTTGTTTGGTGAATTCATTTATTACAAACATAGTCTCTAACCATAAAAATTTATAATTTTTAGAAAATAACTTTTGACTTTTAATAAAAATTTGTACTAGAATCTCAGAAATCACTTTTTATCAAACAGGTTCTACTTTTTTAAATTGACATCATTTTCTGTAGTTATTTTTATCGAATGCTAAATAAGAGTTCTAATGGAGTCAACTTATCACAAATTTTTCTGCTACTTGATTCCCATAACAATAAAATCACAAATCAATGATTACGATCAGTGTAAATAAATAATTTTCAAAAACTCAAAGAGTTGGATAAAGCAAACCTAAACCCAGAAGGGCATTGCGGCCACTGGTTCGTCAACACTCTCAACTGCTCGCCATCAACCTCATGTGAAGCCGGAATTACAGCGGGGTCCTCCACCAAGAAATCAAACACCTGTTTCCAGTCCCTCACATTCTTCGTGTGCTCACCATCATGGTACCCCATAGAATTGACTTCATCTCTCTTCACCTTCCTTTTCTCCTCCAGAGACTGATGGAAGAACCTTCTTGCAACCTCTTCGACTCTCTTGCACAGCTCCAGCGGCACCCCGTGATTGATAACTTGGAAAAACCCCCATTTCCTGCAGGCGTCTCTGATCTCTGCGACGAGGTGGTTGGCGTCAGTGACGGAGAGATCTACGAGAGGGATCTGTTCGGCATCGACCTCGATGGGTTTTGAAGTGGGTCTGTGTTCGATGGGCTGGACGAAAGCTGCGTCAAGTTCTCGAACCATGGCGACTGCACTACGAGGGTAGGTAGTTCGTATGGTGTAAGAGAAGGGATTGGAGATCATACAATGGTGGAGAGTTGCAGAGAGTGTACATTGAATCTGGACGGATTAAGGAAGGTGTATTTTATGAAGTGTGAATTTGTGATTCCACCAACTTATAAAATTTCATGAAGTTATTGTGGTGGTTATTTTAAATTCAAATTATTAATTTTTTCATTATCTATAATAACTAAACTATATTTATAACAAATTTATAAATACTTTAGAATATATTTACAGATTTATGTAAGATAACAAGAACATTAAATTTTAGAATTGGAATTATGTATTTGAGATTTTATAGTGAGATGTATTGTTTTAGTTCTACATAACTTTAATTTGTATCATTTTACTGAAAATATGCAAACATATATCTAATCATATATATATATATACCTATATATATGATACAGTAGGACAAATATATTATAGTTAATGACACATACACTGACAAAAAACATAACAGTAATGTAGGACACTGTCATAACATCATGAGATCTGGCTTCTTTTTTTCTAAAAGAAAAAGAAAACCAAGAGATTTGATTAAAAAATAATCCCTACTGCTTCAGGTGATTGATTTTGAGTGTGGTACAGATTGGAATGAAATATTTGAAATCATAGACAAGGGTTTAAAAAACAAGATGAAAGTTCAAATATTTACAGACGACTAAGAACAAGAAATGAAGTGGGGAAGAATCTGATCAGTTGTTTGAAGCAGTAGGTATGGAGGTTGAAAGGACAACATTAGACAAGAAATGAAGACCATCCTGGATTTTTCCAACTGCTGTGCTACGATCTGCATGGAGATGCTCGGAAAAGGCACTCGCTTTTTCCTGAATTGTTGTCGGCAAATGACCTTCGTGAGAGTCAGCACTAGCGCTTTTGATGGCAGCTGTGTAAGCTTCTGCAACATCTGATATGCCTGCGGGAAGAGCCACATTCTAAATTAACCCACATCAGTTTTTCAACAAATCTTATTCGTTGCATACGATTCAATTCTGCCAGATTATAAAGTTCTGTTTATGGTTCTCGGCAGAAAGATGCAAACATAATTAGAAGAAAAAACAATTACGTATTAGATAACCAAACCTGTGATAAAACTATTGGAAACTGCTTCCACATATCCTGTCATTGATTGAGCCTTCATTCTGATTATCTTAGCTTTCTCAATTGATTCCTCGGGCCATTCAATCTTCACCAACTCCACATCCTCATCCTGAATTTTGTTAGAATGGGATATGATGGACTTACCGAGGTTCAGCAATTGAGACACTGCAAAGCAGCACATCTCAGAAAGTCTCTGCATAAAGGTACATTGGTCATACAATAGCGCACCAGAGGGTAAAGTCAATTTCAATGACAACGACATTAACTGATAACAATAATATACTAATAAATGGTTCAAATGTTTCCAAGAAAAAAAAAAGAGATTAAATCTATCTCCATACGTGAACCCCCTCCGAATGAAGAGATTCTATCCTGCCAGCAGTCCTTTGAATCATATCATTAACAGTCAGTCCTGCTAAAGCACTTGTAAACCTGCAAAATATAAAGAGAAAATATTTGTAATAACAGTTCAAATAATCACTTTGTGAGTACTCCAGAAACAATAGTGCGACCTGAATGAAACTGGAATTCAAACAGAAAATATTAGCAAGCTAGAATGGAATTATATATTCTAAAAGTAATAGTAGAAGAAATCAAAAGATGCTAACTGAAGGTAAGAGATTGAAACCCTCAATTAATAAAAACTTAAATATCACTTAGAATTCAACACAAGAATTTCAAATTTAAAACTAATCAACAAAAGGGTGAACATATTGGCGTAACAATTATTAGGTACTTTGATGAGGTAGTAAGGGAAATTCCAAATAGAAGCCATAGAACTAACACCATGTGGCGGAACATATAAGCAAAATAATATTTGATGGCACACAAATTTTTAACTATAAGGAAAAGAAAAAGATGTATTATGTTATTTGCAATTACCCTGCAGCCATATCAGCAGCCTTGTTAACGCTTGAATCATGTAAAGTCTTCATTTCCTGGTCACTCCCTTCAGTTTCAGTCTCTATTTTCTTTCCTTTAACTGACTCCACAGCGATCCCATCCACTTCAGTGCCAAAACTAAAGATGCTCTGGATTTGTTTAAGTTTTCCATCATACATAGACTTTTGTTCTGAAGACATTTTCGCTTTCCTTCGGTTAAATAACAAGGCATAATGATTAGACAATGCCTCCAATTCCTGCAAGTATTATGGCGCAACGATTTCAAACCAAATAATCATTTCAACAGTTAAAATTCAGATTGTAAGGCAAGAGATGTAATATAACCTCCAACTGTTCTGGACCACCATATATATAAAAGCATCGATCAAAAGTCACTTCCTCATATAACTGGTCCTCATCATCTAGTGATTCAGTATTCTTCTGATTCTTCTCAACTTCAATACCCGTCTCTGAGATCAGTAAATCCATAGTCTCCTTGCCTACAAGTTCAAGCACTTGCATTCCCTTTGCTGTAAATGCTTTTCCAGTCTTTAAGAAAAAGGTATAAGCAAGCAACTAGGGCACCGTTTATCATTAAGTACAAGAATAACACAAACCTCTAATATGGATGGTGCAACAGATCCAGCTGCCGCTGGTAAACCTTCATTCTGGATAGATTCTGCAAAGTTCATGGCAGAATGCTCAAGCCTACAGGAAAGAAATATAACCATTTGATTAACCTGGAAATTGCTGACAAAAAGAGATTTGCTCATGAAAATTATCATAAATTTGTAATGAAATGGAAAGGTCCAGCAATGAGAGGCGAGCCATCCGTGTTAATTTTTTTGAAAATAAAAAAGTATATTCATAAGCACTAAGGGAGTGTAAACTATATACAATACTTACAAATCTACCAAAATGTCTGTAAGGTCCTCAAGATCCTCACTAGAATAAAGCGGTGACCTTTAACAAAAAGCTAAGAGCCTTGAACCAAGAATCCTTGAATATGTCAAATTTACATTCAATACCCCCAAAAAGCCTTCTATTCCTCTCTTGAAAACCACCCAAAAGTTAGCCAATGAGATAAGTTTTAATCTCTTATCCCCGTTCATCTCCAAACACATAACTCCACCTTTACAGATCCAACCCCAAAGCACCATGAGCCAAATTGCACAACCGATGTGCAAACAGACAACACAAAGAATATGATTTCAAAACTCAGATTCTCTCTTGCACAAATAACAACCATTCACTAAATCCTTCTTTATAAGCTTGTCCAGCAATTAAATGCATTCCGGACAGCCTTCCAAGCGAAAAAGGCTATACTCAGGGTTGTTTTTACTTTCCAAATCAGTCTAGTAGGAAAATCTTCATGCTCTGTCTCACCACTATTCAGATGGCCATGATAGGATTTCATGGAGAAAGTGCCTGAAGAGTTCAAATACTCCAAGATCTCCCAATCATTTAAGTTTCTATTCAAATCTATCCACCAAAACCTCGTTGTCACCCTAACCCACCAAGGAATCCTTTATGGTAGCATCCCTATTGCGTGCAACAACATAAATATTAGAAAACTGATGGCACAAAGCTTCCCTCCTTCCAATCATCTTTCCAGAAACACACTCTATGCCCTGACCCCATACTCCACCTAATACACTCATGAAAGTCTCCCCTTTTCCTACTGATTCTTCCACAGTCCCATCACATTCATTCCTCTAGGTTTTTAGAGAACCAACAATTATCATCCACCCCAACAATGATAATCCACCCCATGCTTTGCCTCTATTATCCTCCTCCATAGACTACCTTGCTCCTTCATGAATCTCCACGACCACTTTCCTTGCAGAGCTCCATTAAACCCTGGCAAAATCTCAAACCAAACCACCCCTCAGTATAGGTTGCTTCACCTTGTCCAAAGCCACCAAATGATACCTTCTTTTCTCCGCATAGTCGCCTCAAAGGAAGTTGCATTAGGAGTCATCCATGTTAGTTACAAGGAAATTATCAAAACACTTTGCTTACTGGGTTTGTTCCCAATAAGTACTCCATCCATAGGTGGTGAGAACTTAATAAAGTCATCATTCTTAATGCAAAACGTTGTCCATGTTCAATAGATTTTCTATCTTTCTAACTTCCAAGTAATGAGACAAGGAAAACATGATATAAATGGAGCATTATATAGCTTGGAAAAGTCATTCAAAATAAAGGTCTAATATTAAAAAACCCATTAAAAAATTTTTGTGAATCAAATGCCTGAAGCATAGGTTTGGTTTTCTATCATACCATCATGAAAGTGCTTGGATTCATAGATTCTCTTCTCCAAAAAGGGAAAGCATCCAAGGAGATTTGTTATTCATGATAAAAAGTGTGCTTTACACATACCTCATTCTTCCTTCTCCTTTCATGATCCAACTAGTATTCCCTAAGAAGCCTATTTAGAAGCTGAATGCATAACCTAGAATTGCCTTTTTTCTGCTGAGGTGGCATTAGGGAAGAGAATTCTTATCATTGGTAATCTCAAGAAAAGAGGAAAGATTTGGTTAATGGATGTTATTTATGCATGAGGGCTAGAGAGTCTCCTGACGACATGCTTTCGAGGTGCCCATTTGCCTCTGCCTTTGGTACACTACTATCAAGTTCTTAGGACTAAAGTGGGTCCAGCCACTATTGTCGACAAGATTTGGGATAGATAGAGTAGGGTATCCGGGGTAATAAGAGAAGGAAAAACACTTATTTCCCTTCCTTTTGGCTTTCTTTGAAGGTGTGAGAAGAGAGGAATAGAAGGACTTTGAAGATGCATATCTCCTTTGAGTAGAGTTAGAGATTTGTGGTTCCCAACACTGTGTTTTTGTTTAAGAGTAGTCCTCTTATTTATGATGAGGACCTCTTATTGATACATGGATAAATCTATTATTATCTGTTTTGTGGACATGGGTGGCAAATATATTCTCTTGTTTCTCTTGAGGAAAAAAAAAAAAGGAGCCCCCTGTGTGCCAAATATTTTATACGATATAAACATATTTTTGAAAAGCTAAGATCATTGAATTTTATCCTATTTCATATTCTAAAGAAAGAAAAAATGCCCAGGAGATCATTCAACATTAGCACTTAGGACTTTAAGGCATGTAAATATGCATTCTTTTTTCTTTTAGAAAGAAAACCATTCTATTAATAGCACCATGAGGCTGCAACCCAAAACAAAAGAAAGAATATAAGATTCCTTTTCTTCTAACGTAAAAATGCATTATAAGCAAACCCCAAACTTCATTTGTTATAATCACACAATGACACTTGGTTTATTTCACACATCATCACTCAAACACCAT